AAGAGTTGTATAAGTAAATGACCTGGCCTCCGGTATCCGGTAATCCGAGCACGTCTTGCTGACCGAAATAGCCGTGGACAGAGAATATAACAACGTTGAACAATGTGGGAAGCCTGCTAAAGAGCAAATCTAACTTCACATTGTCTGGTGCTTCAAGAACTTCTGAAAGCATAACCATTGTTTCTTTCACTCTCTCTGCTGTATCTCCCCAACCTTTCTCGAATCCCATCTCCTTCAACCTAAGAAAGTAACTTTTCAATCAGATCTATATTCCGGTTCCTCAAGGAAGATAAAGAAACCCATCATGTTTCTATTTCTTGAGCAGTTTTTTTTTTTTTTTACCTTAGTGCAAAAGTTTCATATGGTGTGTGTTTTGGGTAAGTAGAGACTACAATCACAGCAAGCATCAGAGATTTCTGGAGCTTCGCAACCGTGTTAAGATCGTCATTGATCATTAGATTCTGCAAAAGACAAAGCAATTTTAATGAGTTCTAAAACTTTCAAGAAGAAAAATGAAAATGGAAAAAAGAAAATGATTCAATCATGACCTCTCCGTGATGGTTAAGGCGAAGCAGGTAGTTCAACAAAGGTTCTAGTCTACCCGATTTGCCTCCAAGCTTAGAAGATATAAACTTAGAGATGTAATCAGCTCCCTTTCCAATCGAAGAAGAAAGACTAAGACGAGGACTTGTGAAATCAATCGCTCCAAAGTCTATCTCCAATGCATTTTCATCTTTAGACCTACGTAACATTTCAAAAAAGATTACACCAGATGATCAATATTGCTCAGGGTTTTACTAAACCACCGTATGTGAGATTGTTTACTAACCATGACTCATCGAAAACAGATTCCTTGAGCTTTAAGTAATCATTGGCTGTGATTTCATCCACTGTTAGATCTCCAGAGTTGACCTTAACATATTCCCAGAAACCAGGATTTGGCCTTGCAGCTAATGCAACAAACGGTGGAACCACTGCCGCTTCCTGAGTAGTTAAAACAGAGAATATTAAACCGTGATTTCGCATGAACACGCAAATAAACCGTTTTTAATTGCAAATGGTAATGAAGATATATTTATTACCTGAGTACAAGTGAGAATGTAACCAAACAGTCCCTCAAGGATCTTACTGCGTTCACGGCTATCTTCTATACATTTCTCTATCTCATTCATCAGATGCTTACGCTTCATTAGCTTCTTTCCTCCTCCAACAAAGCTACAAAAATGTTTCCACATACAAACATTTAACTAAGGAATCCAAATAGCATCAAGATGTAGCAAAAAAAAAAAAAACTAATCAAAAAGTTGAAAGAACCTGGCAAAACATCTCTTCATGTGGTACCGGCTTTGTTTCAATGCATCAGGCATTTTGTCAGCAATTGAATCCGATCTTTGAAGCATAGCTTGAGATGAAGATGACATGTTTTTCAAACTCTCTTCAAGAATATTGAATGATTGAGAGATGAAGTAGTTTGGTTTAATCACAAATGTATATATAGAGATACCTTAAGGCACAATAATATGCTGTGAAGGGGACAGGAGTAGAAGGAGAAGGATAGGGGAGAAGATTATTCGTTAGAAATAAAAGTGGGGAAAAGATAAGTGTGCAAGCAAGTAAACAAAAAAGAATATTGCGTGATTTTCATTTGTTTGAAGCAAAATCAGATTTTGTGTACCTTTTGCTTTTCTTGGGGTTCATGTGATAATAACATAAAAGGTATGGGGGCAAAAAGAATGCTCTTCGATGGATACTTTACTTAGGTTGTGGTCCCTGTGGACAAAGATTACTTTATTGCAATATTATATACAGCTACTAATTATTGATTAATTAGTATCAATTGGACAAAAGATTAAGTTAATCAACAAGAAAATTAACAATTATAAATGTATACACAATGCATCAATGACATTAGCACAAACCATTCGACTACGTGTTCGATTCTCCGGTTAACGATTAGTTTAATCATAATTTTTGAACCTGTGAGCATAATTAAGCCATAACTAGTTTAATTTAATCATATGGGGTTGGTTACACTAACTAATGAAAGCATTTGTTGAAATTTTCATTACGTACCGGAATATAACAAACGGCCAGAGAAACTTTCCGGATACCGGACCGAATACCGGTACCCAAACCGGTATAATCATGTACCGATTTTGAACCGGTTAGACTCTTTCGTTGTTAGTGTGTCTCGGTCTCTCGGAGCTTTCTGAACTTTAAACGACGCGTTTCCCGTTCCCGATAAGCAGACGACGGTGTTGGCTATGGAGATCGGAGAGATAGAGATATCGAAGCAGAGATGCGAATCGGTTATAAGAACAATCGAGAATCTTCCTTTATCAACTGCAATCACTGCTTCGTGCCGTCGCACTCTCCTTAAGCTCGCTTCCTCCGAGCTCTCCTTCCTCTCGTCACTCTCTTCCGTTCCTTCTCCACAGCCTCTCAGGTTCTCTCTCTGATTTTGATCATCTCTTTCTCTCGTCACTCTCGTTAGCTTTGGTTCTGACTTTGATTTTTTTCTCCGCAGTGTCAACATTGGCCACATTGAGTCAGTTGTACGGATTTTGCAGCTCCCTTCCGTCACCGGCGTTTCGCGCGTTTGCAAACCGATTCCTCTTCCGATTGGTGGCGTTCATGTTGATCTGGTTTGTACTCTCGGAAAAGTTCCTGTGTGGATCATCGTCTCTGATAGAAACCCTAGATACATCTCCTGGAGTGGAGACCGCCATGGAAGCAAAGGTTTGAGGTCTAGAATCGAACAGATTCTCGCCGCTGCTAATTCCACAACCACGCTAAAACCTTCTTCGGTGATTCTGTTCTTCGCAAATGGTTTGCCTTGTTCAATTTACGAGAAACTGAAAGACGAATTTGGAGCTGCGCATTTCGATTTCTTCGGGCTGGATTCGGATTCGGATATTTCAATGCTCGATGATTTCGATTGCGAATGGGTTAACGTTGTTCGAACCAGATCATATAAAGAAGCAGTTTCTGTTGAGATCAAGCTCATAGATCAATGTGATTCACTTGCCTCTCCTGAAACTGAGGTTTTAGTTCAAGAAGATGTCACAGAGCTAAGCCAAAAAGATGTTTTTTCTTCTGTAATCTCCTCCATGAGATTGCTTGGTGAAGACTGTCTCATTAACTTCGACACAACGGCTCTTGTTGCTCTCGTTTCTGGAATCAGTAACGGGTGTGCAGAGAGAATCGTGCATACGCCTGAGATCGAATTAGAAGAAAAGTTTAAGGGAAATACTGTTTTTGTGATCGCTCAGGTATTTATGTACCCATTGAGAGGATAAATTCACCATTGTCTCAAAAACATAAACTTTTGTGAAATTGACATGTTATATGCAGGCGAGATCTGAAATTGAGAAGCCAGGTCTTGTCAAAATGGGAAGTGTATTATCAGGGAAGCGAGGGATTGTATGCAAGAGTGTTCTCTCAGAGTTCAAGGAGTTAGTATCCATGTATGCTGGACCCAATGAGAAACTCAGAGCTGAGCAGTTGTTGAAGAGCCTAATGTAATTCACATTGTGCTCTGTAAATCTCAAAGTTCAATACGTTTACTCATTACAATTGTGGTTGATGGTCGATGTGATTGGTGGCAGGGTGGTCAATGACAATCCCTCAGAGCGTGTGATGAGCCTCCCAACAACGAGGAAGTTAGCGATGAAGAACAAGACTGTGTTTGGGACAGGTGATAGATGGGGAGCTCCTACATTGACTGCAAACATGGCGTTTGTGAGAGCCGTGGCTCAATCGGGCATGTCTCTCTCCACTAACGATCATAGCCCTCGAGCTCTCACCGGTGATTAATGGAGTTCAACTGCTACCTATTCTGTAATTTTGTAGGTTCTAAAGACCAAACCTTGTAGACTTGTAGTACTAGGTAAGACAAAACAAAAAGCGGAACCTACCAGTTTACTTTTGTCTGGTGTAGATGTTGGCCAAAGTAATAATAATGAATGTGGAACAGAAAGAATGGAATTTTATTGCACTGAGCAAACAAAACTACAACAACATACAGAGAATACAGAACAACATCTTCCCATATTTTTATCTGAAAACTAATTCAAACCAATTCGGTAGTTTTTTCACACCCATTATTATTGATATTTGGAGAATCACTAGTGTAGTTATAGAGCTATATCACCACTCTTTTTTTTTTTTTTTTTTTTTTTTTTAACCCCTCTGACTTTCACTTGCGGAGGCACGATTTCCCGTGAACACTTTAATCGTATCAAACATATCGGCAATGTTTTTGTCAATCTTCTTACTCTACTCAGCTACTGTTACCTCCAACGCTTGATTTCCGCTAAGCATCTGATCGATTCTCGTGTTTGCTAATGCAAGGTGTCGTGTCCACTTTGGAACAAACCTCGGTATATGAATGAGTAAGCTTAAGATTCATTATATAGAGTTTAATCCTAACAAGCAGAAACCTAGTTATAAGGTCTTCAAATACACATGACCAACATAGACAAGTTTGAAATTAGACATACTAATTGTTATTAGATACTACCACGGATGATATGAATCTTGATCGCATAAACCACGTTGTCGCAGTTGCGAAAAATTTCGCATAAGATGGAGTCATTCTTTGTGAACTTGTTTCTACGGCATATATCATGCCATTTATTTATGCAAACACGTTGATCTCCCCACTTCTTTGTCCTTGCAGTTAGCTTTCCAAACAAGTCGATATATTCAATGTTGTCGTCAAACTTCAAACAGTAGACTTTCACAAACTGTTCATAAACTAACTGTATATAGAGAGCTTTAGAGCATGCACATAGTTGATACTCTATGAGTATCATTAATAATTTTTTAATATTAATTTTAATGTTTGTTTATTGTTTAAAATTTTTTATGATACTGGTAATAAATCTGTTTCCAGTGGTGAGACCGGTATCGGTATTATTAATTAAAAAAAATTATTTGCAAAATCGAAAAATAAATATATAATAATATAAGATAACAAAAGGTAATATTACAATCTATAAAAACATAGAATATACTTCAGCAAAAAAAAAAAACGTAAAATTCAAAAAAACATTAATAAACATGATGATAAAGATAAAAAACATGATGATAAGCAAACGCAATTAAAACTTCAAAAGCCTTATTCTTCTTAAACGAAAGACTCAAATCTTGGCTTGCCTTAAAATGTCTGTTAATGTTTGATAAAACATTTTCAGGTGAGCGTGGAGAGAAAGCATAGAAGATGACTGGTGATATGCTTTCACTGTCTTAGAAACAAACAGAGCTGAAGAACGGTGTTTATCATTTCGGTCTCTAGATCTAATTTCTGTGAATAAAAATGAATGGAGCCTGTGTTTGGTTTCTTTGTTGACACAACAATGCTTTGAAGATACCACTGCCAAGGCAAAAAGGGTTTGCTTTATTACTATTATTACTAATGATCCTGAAACAGATTAGTCTACAATATTTTGAACATGTTATGTAATGCATATTGATATGACTTGTGTGTAAGTATTCTTGATCCAAGTAACCGAGGAATCAGTCACCAAAATTTCAAAAGGTTTCCAAGCAAAAGGAAAGATAAAGATTCTCTGTATACACACAATAGAAAAAAGAAGAAGTCATGCATACCTTAGATGGATTTTTCAAATTGTTGGAGCTGCAAATGAAACCGGAATTAGGATATGCCTGATGTCGTCGGCTCCTTATGAGTTCCACAGCTTTAGAGAATCCCATTCCATGCTTTTTCATCAGATAAGCCACCACTATAGTCACAATTCAAACCAATCAAATTGTGTAAGTATACATATAACAAAACGAAACAATAACCAAATTACAGGTTCAAGAAAAACTCTTAGTTTGTCCACACAATATGTAATCTTTTCACTACCATACCTCTTACCACAGTCCCCAATGATACCAGAATCAACAAGCTATAAATGTATCAAAGCAAACTACAAGATTCATATATACTTCTGCCAAATCTGAGTCTGTAGATTCCTATGGTTACTTAGCAATGATATGATTCACAGTGACTCCTAACCTAAACACTAAATATAATAGCTGAATGTATGAGATTAAGGATGAAAACCTCCTAGACATTCCCATGAAGCAATGAACCAAAACACCACCACCAGATTGAATAGCTTGGTCGATGAAGCTAAAACACAAACACCAAACTAACTCTAACGTCTAAACCCAAATCAAGAAAGACCTATGTTCTTACAAAAACAAAAAGCTACAACATATAAGTGTCCCAAGAGGAGAAACACAACAATGTTAAACTTACTTCAAAAGTGATGAAGGCACTGAAAGCACCATCCTCAGGACGCATCTTGCAGTCAAATTTAGTGATGACTCCACAGCTTCTGAAGTAGCTACGAATCTCATCTTCTGTACTCTGATAAGGAATACCCCTAACATATAACTTTTTAGGAACAACCCCATCTTCTTCTCTCTCTTGGACAATCTGGGTTTGTGGCTAGATGAATCAAGGAGGAATTTCAGAGACTGAGATTGTGGATTGGTTTCGGCTACAGAGACAGATAGTGATTTAACCAAATCTTGTCGAATCCTCTGCTTCAGCTTCTTGTTCGACAGCACCATCTTCTTCACTGAGACCGCCAAAAACAAAAAAAAACAAAAACCCTAATTGGATGATTTTGATTACTTTGGTGGAGAAGAAGATTACTTTGTTGGCTGATTTAGATTTGCCCATGGAGAACTGAGAAAGAGCCGACAGAAGAGAAGTTTTCGAGAGAGAGTTGAGAAAGATGCAAAGATTTTTTTTTTTTTTCTGTTTTAACCAAAAAATACACGACCAATTGCAAACCGACACGTCACATAAACTGAGTATCAAAGGTATCAGTTCACTGATACGTATCAGGCCCAATTAAACGGTTTGGTCCATTATAATATAGTTTTTGGGCTAATGATACTGGGCAAAATTCACCAGTGTACATGGTCTTAGTCAGTAGATAATGAAATGAATTTAAAATGAGAGAAATACTAGTTCTAACTACGACTTACCAGCTCATACGGCCTATCCTTAAGAGCTGTCTCAAAGCTTATACTGTTTGGATCATCCAAATATGCTTCCGGGTTCTCAATGGTATTGGCTGCAAAATTTCCAAGAAAATCAATTTCATAACAGCTTCGTTATAAGCATCAAGTAAATGTTTGAAGGATAATGTTTCTTAAAACCTCTCTTCCTGCTTGTGGCGGACTTATTGAACACCTGGACAGATTCGACCAAGATCGTTGTTGTGTCTAGACTATCAGGAGAATAGTCTGTGTCACTCTTTGTCTCATCATCATTGATCTCTTTCTCTGGATAACGTTTTCAAGAGAAATGTCACTGTTTTCACTCTCTGTCTCATCAGAGATTTCTTCCACTTCAATGGCTGCACGATCTCCTTGCAACCTCCGTAACCGTAAATACTCACTGCATAGCGTCGGTAACCATCGAAGACAAAACTCAAGAACTCAGCGTCTTTAAGGGCATTATCCGCCACAAAATTGGCCCAGCCTCGTTCAAAATACACTTTCTCATGCTTGCTCTTCATTGCTACTTTCCAAATCTTTCCACCAGTCCCCATGAGAATCGCAGTCTTGGGCAACCGACGCGGCAAGTGTTCGTAGTACGAAATTGGTATCAGCTGCTCAACACAAACGAAACTGTTCTGATCAGCAGCAAAGACATAAACTAGAGACTCTGTCTGCAGCCGAGGCCCCATTTAATTTCCAAAACAACCCCACATTTTGTACTATTGTAACAGTCAATGATAGCAATAAATAGAAAGATGAGTCAATGACATCTCTCTGCACTGTTTTGTCCTTTTGTTGATGTTTTAATTTCTCATCGAGTTTGTTTTAATTATGGTTAGTGAGGAGGTCATTAGCTCAGTTTCAATTAACATATTTTGTATTAACGATTCTGTTTATCTAAACATTTGTGGGAAAGAGAATGTGATTAAGAATCTCATAATAATAGAAATTAACTAGGCACAAATTACATATCTGTTCTATCCAGTGCGGCCCTGTATAATATGGGGCCCAATACAAAAGATTTTTTTTTTGATGGATTTTATAGAAGAAATTAAAACTTGAGACCAAATTTTAAAATTTTAGGAAAATGAGGCCTAATTTTGCAATAACAAATAGATCAAATTTAAAAATTTGAGACTAAATCTGAATATTTCAAAAAAATGGGGCATCTTATTTGCAATAAAAAGTATTTTTGAGGCCTAATTTTATACTAAAAAGCTTAAAAAATCTGGAGGCCCAATACACATGTTTCTTAGAAATGTGTGGTGGACCGGGCCTGGTTCTATCTATACTCAATTGTTACCGGGCTGAAACATTTAACCGGGACAGATTGGGAACGGTTTAAGATAATCAAGATTAGACTCTTAAGGGAAAAGTATGTGTTTAAGAGAGAGGAGTTACGAGAGATTCCATTGCCTGATGAAACTCTGATTACAAGACCCTTGTGGCTGGTAATCTTAACTCTGAAGGGACATATCTGTGAGGTTTATAGAGGCTGTGAGATGCTACACACAAATCATAAAAGGCTTAGATGCATAATGCATTTACAAAAATTTCAAACTATTTTATTTTTAATTTTCTTTGTGAAAAGTGAAAACTGTAATATGCAAGGAAAATGTATGTTTACGAACTAATAGTCATTTGTCTTTATAGACTCAATGAGTAGTTTAAAAAACGATTTTAGGAATAAAAATATCTTGGAAAATCAAGCAAATAAAATATAATCGAAATAACTAAATAATTGTTAATTCTTTTATCCATCCACAGTTACTTTCAAATATTCCTTGGTCTAAACTGAAAATACATTGTTTTCTATGATTTCATTCTAGCTTTATTGATAATGTGTCGATTAGGGGGGACCGGTGGTGGTGGTGGTGCAACAATAACTCTGGTTGGTAAACCCAAAGCAAGTTAATTGCACTATTCTGAAATCAAACAGACAAAAATCCTAAATTAGAGACGTCAATTAATAAATCTCGAGACAACATTAATTTGCAAGATGTGGAAATTAAGAACCGAACACTAATTTTACGACCATGACCACAATCTACATCCATAAGGCAAAACACAACCTATAATCTCATACAAGGTTTCAAAAATCACCTTCATCTCTTCCGAATCTTTGGCGATAGTAGCCACATTTTATTCTTACCCATGTTTCCAAAGAGATGCCCCTTCAGACACTGTTCATGCAAAAAAAAATGTGTAAACTTTTGAAAGACAAAGAGTAAATCAGTGAAAAAAATAAAAAAAATCTAACATTTTTCCTCTGGTCTCTTCTCATCTCATCTCGCAGTCAAAGCCGGTCCAGTATCTTCGAATACCCTACACAAATAAAAAAAAAATGCCCTTTATACTTTTTTTTTAAAAAAATTACAAATCATATAGTTATAAAAAGTCATACTAAAACTTGATTAAACAGTTTTTAAATCCATAATCAGTTTGCATGAAAAGAAAAATACTTAAAAATAAAATTATTTTCTTTCAATTTTATTCTTTAAAGCAAAATCTTTGATTTTGTAATTAAAGTCACATACCTTAGCAAGCAGACAAAAGAAGAATTAAAGTCATATACCTTAGCAAGCAGACAATGGAATCAAGCTAAGAAAAATTTCTGTACAAAAATTTTGTTTGGTGAATATAGTTTTCCACTTAATTAACATTTTATTACCTTAAAAGCTTATACTTCACATAATATGGTACAAAAAATCCCAACAAAAAATGAATTATTAACAAAACCTATAATATATATATATATATATATATATATATATATATATATATATATTGTTTTTTTTATATAAAGGACCTAAACCAAATTTCCTAACAATATATCTTGTTTGAAAAATCGCTAGGCGCTAGTCAGGCGGTCGGCATGGGCCTAGCGATTAATCGGAAAATCGGATTAAAATCGGGGATTAATCGGGGATTAGTTTTAGGGTTATTTTAATATTTTTAAAATATATTAATCCAATATTGTAAAAATTTATGATTTTTATTACAAATTTATGATTTTTATTAAAATTTGAACACAAGTTATTGTAAAACATCACAAACTCCCCATTCAAATGATTGAATAACAAAAATAAAAGGTTTTTTTATACTTGCAATCTAAAAAATAATCGGGGTATATAAGATAAGGTGGAAAATAATCGGATTAGGCGGGAAGTAATCGGATTAGGCGGAGAATAATCGGGTTACTGATTTTTTAGGGGATTAGTCATTAATCGAGGCGGATAGGGTGGGCCTAGCGATTAAGCGGGGAGTAATCGGGGCTAGGCGGGGATTTTTAGAACAGGAAATATATCACATCTCTTTGGGTGCTCTAAATCATTGTTTGGGTAATTTAGTTTGTATTGTGGGCCGGGTCTGCTCGCAGTCGCAGTCTCTTTCAAGGCCCAACTTTCAAATACCTATTAAGAGTAAAAACTTATTCTTGTTTTGGTAAAGCTTAATCGAGTGTTTTGTTCAGCAATACAGAAAAATAATCCAAGATATTGATTCGAGATTTCGTGCATCAAGGCTCAAGCTACACAGAAGAAAAGAAATCATTCCTCACAAAAACCAAGATTGTATATTGTTTTTGACAAACCAAAACCGGTTTACATAGATAATTAAACTAAACCAAAAATTCAGATAAATTAAAGAAACCAGAAATTCAGATAAATTAAAGAAATCATAAATTGTTAATCTGGATTATTCATGTATCTTGAAAAATGAAAACACATGACTATGAGAGTAAACTCACGCTTGTCCCACCACCCATCTCTGCTCCAATTCAGGCCTGAAGGTTTCGTTTCATATTTTTCTTCTGTAATTGACCCTTTCTTTCGTTTTTTTCAATGCCCAGTAGAGACGAGCCAACTCTTCTCTATCTTCAGCTGTTTGGATGGCTTGTCTCCGCTTCCCCGTTAATTTTCTCCACCCTTTACTAGAACCACTAGTAACACAATCTTTTTTCGATTTATTCTTGCCTCTCTGTCTCTCTCTCTCTCTCTCTTTTCTCTGCCTGCCCTCTCTCTTTCCTTGCTTGTAAGTTTTTCTGCCTTTGTTTCTCCCGGGATTTGCCCCTCCATTTGTTCAAAAACATTCGGATTCGCAGAAATAATAACGAATGTGGAACAGAAAGAATCGAACTTTATTGCACTAGACAAACAAAATTACAGCAACATACAGAGAATACAGAACAACATCTTCCCATATTTTTATCTGAAAACTAATTCAAATCCAATTCGGTAGTTTTTTCACACCCAGAGAGCTGATATATTATTGACATTTGGAGAATCACTAGTGTAGTTATACCCTTTGTGTTTCTATGGCAGCCATTGGCTTTGTAACTCTATAAGGTGATATGCAATCTACTATTCACTGCTCTATCGTTGGTTGCCCTTTATGTGATTTGATGTTTTTTTAGTCTGTAGACTGTCCTCGGACCATGACGCATCGACAGAAGGAAGTTGGTACTCATCAGGTTTTAATGCCAAGGCGAAATCAGGAAGCGTCGGTGCTGTCTCCATGATCCTATAATTCAGCATAAGTGGACAACAAAAAGATTTGAGTTTAAAATATCATAGCAAGAGAAGAGAGAAAACTCAGACAAAGCTTCAAACTGAAACTCACTTTTCATAAGAGTATAGATCACGGTTTATCCTGACTTTACTTGAAGTTTCTTTCGGTATTTTCTCTGATAGATATTTCATTGTCCCAAAAAGCG